CTTTAGGCCCTGCCAGGGGCTCTCAGGTCTCCCTGGAGCCTTCTCTTCTCCAGGGGAACCCCCCCAGCTGTCCCAGCCTGGCTCCAGAGCAGAGGGGCTCCAGCCCTGGCAGCATCTCCGTGGCCTCCTCTGGACTCTCTCCAGCAGCTCCACGTCCTCCCTGTGCTGTGGGTCCCAGAGCTGGATACCCTGAGCTCCAGGTGGGCTCCACGCGGCTCTGCCAGGACTCTCCTCACCTCTCCTTCACGATGTGGTCGAGTTTGTAGGTGGGTTTGTTGTCCTTCAGCCGTTCCACAGTGCTCCACTCGCTCTTCCCGTATGCCTTCCGGAGCTTCCGCACGAACACCTGTGGGGAAGGGGGAGTGGGAGCTCCTGGGAGCTCCTGGGTGCTCCAGGACCAGCCCCAGCAGCCCCAGGGGCGGGACAATCACCTTGTATTCCCGGAATTTGTTGACGATGGGCTCATGGAGCAGAAATTTGATGTCCTTGAGCAGGTAGAAGGTCCTGGGGGCCGTGGAGCCCTTGTTCACCTTCTTCTTGTGCTTGGGCTCGTGGGGGTAGATCCCCTTGAGGATGCAGAGGCGCCTGGGGAGGGGACAGGGCTGGGACACAGCACCCTTGGGACACCCCAGGCTCTGCTCTTGGCGGGGGAGAACCCCCAAACTTGGCACCCGAAATCCTGAGACGTACCCCAGGACACTCGGGACAATCCATCCCGCTCCCAAGGGACAGGGACACCCCAAGGGTCACCTCCTGAAGGAGGTTCAAGGAGTCCCAGGGCCACCCCACACACCCACCACAGGCTCTATCCCCCACTGCTACCTCGGGAGGGGCCTGGGGGTTCCAGGGGGGTCATCAAAGGGGTTCTGGGGGGAGCTCAGAAGGTTTGGGGTGCCGGTGGGGGGCTCCAGGAGGTCTAGAAGGAATTCAGGGGGGATTCTGGGGCTTGGGGGTCCCGGGGAGCTCAGGAAGGGGGTGAGTTCGCGGGGTGTGGGGTCCCTGCACGGGGGGTTCGGGGGTCCCGGGCGCACCTGAAGTCGGGCAGGCTCAGCTGCAGCTTCTTCCGCGCTCGGTTGCGGGTGATGTAGTTGGTGGCGGCTCCGCGCTCGTACTGCGGGGACACGGAGGTAAAAAGCGATGAGACCCCCGGGACTGGGGAGGAAATGGAACCACCGCGGGGGGAGAGGGAGAGAAACGGGGCCCAGGGATGGGATGGGGGCTGAGAGGGATGGCCGGGCACGGACAGCAAGGGGGGCGAGCGGGGCAGCGGGCACCAGCGGGAAGGGCACGGGCACGGCAGGGAGGAGGGTCGGGGGGGACAGGGAGGGTCAGGGATGGGACGGGGGGTCGGGGGGGGGTCCCGGTACCTTTTTCTTCTCCACCCCCCCCATGGCTCCGCCGAGCCACGCGCTGCCGCCGCCGCAGGACCCCGGGCCGCCCGCGCCGCGCCTGAGCGCACCGGAGCCACCCCGCGCCGGGCACGGGGACAGCGGGGACAGAGCGAACAGCGCAGGAGGAGCGAACGGAACGGGGGGAGCGAATGGAAAGAGCGGCGAGGGCGGAACGAGCAGCAGGGCAGGGGCCGGTCAGGCGCGCGGCAGGCAGCCCAGAGCGCTGCGGCGAAGGGGCCTAAGGCGCGGGGCATGCCGGGATATACCGAGGCAGGCCCGTCCTCCTGCATGGGGCATGTCGCGATATGTCGGGATATACCGGGGGTCCTGCTTCCACCCCGGGGGTCCTGCTCCCACCCCGGGGTCTCTGCCCCAGCCCGGGGGTCCTGGGCCTCCCACAGCCCCGCGGCTGCGGCACTTCCCCCCCACCCCCGACTCCCCACAGCCCCCCCGTGGGTCTGGAGGGACCCGGTGGGGGTTCACACATCCCCCCCCCGAGGTCCCGCCGTGCCCGGGGGTGCTGTGACCCCCGAACTGCCCCTCTCTCCCCCCCTCAGTGCTCAGGGGGGTTTGAGGGCAGGGGTTCCCCACGCCGATCCCTCCAATCCTGGCTCTGGGGTTTTACCTGTTGGGGCTCGGGACCCCCCGGCTTTAGGGAGTTACTTTTTGGGGCTCCGCCCCCCTCCCCCCTGTCCCCGGCTCTGTGGTGGGGCTGATTAATCCTCGTTTTCTCAATTAAATCCCCGTTAGAAGCGAGCAGTGGATTCACGTTTTCAAAGGCACGGGATTTGTGGAGTTTCATGCCTGTCTTTATTTTTGGGCTGCTCGGGGCACGGTGCCCCGGGTGACCCGGGGCAGGGTGACCCAGCGCAGCCCCCGTGATGTCCCCGCTCTCCCCCCCCGGTCCGTCCCAGCCAAAGTTCTGCCCCGTTTGTGCTGACTCGGCCCCGCCGTGCGGAAACGGCTCCCGCCCCACCTTCCCGTGCTGTCCCGGTCCCACCCGGGCTCATCCTGCCGCTCCCGGGCGTGCGGCAGTGCCGTGTCCCCCTCGTGTCCCCCTGTCCCTCTCCAGCATGTGGCTGCTGCTCGTCCTGCTGCTGCCGCCCGCGGTCCTGCCCGCCCAGCGCTGCGGTGAGTGCGGCCCCGGGACCCCCGACCCGCCCGGGGGGGGCAGAGCCGGGGTGACAAACCCCACCCTGGACACCGGCCCTGCTCCCCAGTCCCGGGGGCCTTGTGAAATCCTCGGGGATGAGTTTTCCAGGGCTCAGCTCCCACCACGAACCTGATTCCTGCGGCCCCTTCCCTTGCCCGGAGCCAGACCCTGCCCACCCCCCGAGGGTCCCACAGGGACTCTGGGACAGGGGTGTCACTGAGGGGTGTCGTGGGGGGGGCCTGAGAACAGGGGTGTCACAGAGGGGTGTCAGGGAGGGGGGCTGTGCCGGGCTCTCTCTGTATTTCACATCACGGCTCTTCCTTTGTTTCTCCCTCTTTGTTTGTGGGAAATCTCGAGGTGTTGGGGTTTGAGGGGACACACAGAGGGTGTTGGGTACCGGGGCTCCATCCCCACAGAGCTGCGGGGGGCTGCAGACGCCGCGGGGGCAGTCTCAGCCCCCCGTGCCCCCTCACCTGCGCTCCCTCCCTGGGGTCGCGGGCAGAGCCCCCCCCGGGGCCGGCGGGGGCCGTGCGGGCGCTGAGCGCGCGGCTGCTGGGGCTGGCGGGGGACACCACGCGGGACCCCGACCCCGCCGTGTACCTGGGGCTGCGCCTGGGCCGGGAGCACGACCTGCAGCAGGAGCAGCGCTACCTGGAGAGGCTGCACCATGCCTTCCAGCACCCCTACGGCAGGTGGGACACCGGGGGACACACCGGGACCCCCACGGGGACACTGGGGCTCCCCACGGGCCTTTGGGGACGCCCCTGTCCCGTACACTGACCCCAAGTCCCCGCAGGAGCGTGCAGGCCCATGGCTACCCCGAGCAGGATGCTGAGCTCAGCACGTACGTGTGGGTGTCCTGGGGGACAAGGGGTGCCCTGAGGGCAAGGTGACAGCCCCGGTGGTGTCATGGGAGGTGCCCCGAGGGCAGGGTGACACCGCCAGTGGGGTCCTGGGAGCCCTGGGACAGGGTGACACCCCCGGTGGTGTGCTGGGAGGTGCCACATGCCTTGCAGGGGCGTGGAGCGGCCGCAGACAGGGCGGCTGGCGCTGTACCTGCTGGGGCTGAGGGCCACCTGTCCCCCACCCAAACCCCACCGGGCGCTGGTGACGTGGCTCAAGTACTACCTGGAAGAGGACTGGAAGGGTGAGTGTCCCCACGGGGTGACCACCTACCCGGGCACCCACAGGATGGGACCTCGCTCACCCCCAGTGACACCCCCCATCCTTGTCTCCAGGCTCCCAGCGGCATGGCCGCCCCCTCACCAGTCACTACCAGTATGGGCTGGGCGTGCTGGCGCTGTGTGTGCACCACAAGCGGGTGCGGGAGGAGGTGATCCGCCGGCTCCTGGCGGCACAGCACCATGGCCAGCTCGGGCACAGCGCCGTGGGTAAGGGCCCGTGGGCACAGGTGGGGGCACTCGGTGGGGGTGAGCCCGGGTGACCCCGCGGTGTCCTTGCAGACACGGAGGCCGTGCTGGCACTGGCCCTCACCTGCCTGGAGCGCAGGAGGCTGGTGGGGGCCGGGCTGGCGGCCGAGCTCCGGGCCACCGTGCACAGGGTGAGCAGGGGCATGGCCCAGGCTCAGGGACCCGACGGCATCATCGGCAACATCTACAGCACCCCCTGGGCCCTGCAGGTGGGTGTCACCTGAGGGGACGTCTGGGATGGGAGCAGGAATGGGCAAGGGGAGGTGGGACTGCAGGGGCTGATGTGTGTGCTGATGTGGGTGCAGGTACAGGTGGGGGTGCAGATGTGAGGATTTGGCTGCAGACGTGGGTGCAGGTGCAGACGTGGATATAGATGCAGATGTGGGTGTAGATGCAGGTGCAGATTTGGGTGCAGATGTGGGTGTGGGCACAGGAGCAGATATGGGTGCAGGTGCGGATGGGTGTAAGTGAGGGTGTAGACAGGTGCAGATGTGGGGTGTGGGTGCAGATGTGGGGTGTGGGTGCAGGTACAGATGCAGATGGTGGTGCCTGGGCAGAGGCAGCTGCCCCAGGGCAGGTGATGCTCAGCCCTGCAGTGCCCAGGTACCCAAACACCTCCCTCCTTTTCTCACTGCCCCACCGCCTCCCTCCTGCTCCAGGTGTTCCTGGCCACAGGCATGTGCCACACGGAGCCAGCGTACAGCCAGGCCATGGCCGCACTGCTGGAGAACCTGGACGCCTTCGGCACGGCCGCCACCATGGCCCAGGTGCTGCCGGTGCTGCACGGCCACTCCTACCTGGACATCGCCTCCATGAGCTGCCAGGACGAGCTGGGTACGAGCCAGGGGCAGCCAGGATGGGGTTGGCACTGGTGCCACAGCGGCGGTGGCCGGGTGTCCATCAGTGCCGCGGTGGCTTCTCACAGACACACTGACACCCCTCGACGTGGAGCCCCTGATTGAGGTGCCGGGGAACAAGACGGTGCGGCTGGTGGTGGAGTGTGCCCAGCCCTGGTGTTTCGACCTCCAGCTCTATGACCGGCAGGTGTCCACGCCCGCCGCCGCCTCCCTGCTGGATGTGCTCTGGGCAGCCAGTGCACAGGATCCCCACTTCACGTATGTGGCTCACCTGGGGTCCCCTGGGGTCGCACTGGGGTGGCCACGTGTCCTGTGCCCATGCCACGGGCTCACCCTGGTTCCCACCGCCCGGGAGCTGCCCTGTCCCCCTGCCAGCAGTGCCAGGGCTGGACACTCAACCCCTCACTGCCCTCTGCCACCCCCCAGGTTCGACACCCAGGGCACCCCCCAGGGCCCCTACCTGACCCAGGTGCTGGGGCTGGAGGCCCGGCAGGAGAAGCGGAACTACTGGCAGCTCCTGACAGCCCCCAGCACACCCCTGCTGACGAGTGAGTGATGGGTAGGGGTCCTTTAGGAGGGAGTAGGGGTCCCAGGCAGTCCCCATGGTCCCTGGGGCCCCCAGTCTCACCTGGGGTCACTGTCCCTCCCTCTGCAGGTATCGCCGACTACATTCCCCCCGATGGGGAGACCCTCATCCTGCGCCTCAGCGAGTGGTAGAGGGTGGGAAGAGATGGCAATGAAACCCCCACTGAGGGCACAAGACCTGCTTCCTGTCTCCTGCTTTCCAGGGGCCAGCACCCCAAATCCACTGGGGGGAGGAGGAAGGGGACACAACGTGCCTTGTCCTACGGGTGCTGTTGGATGGGAGCACCCGGACTGGCAGCTCCTCCGCTCCCGGTCCCTCTCAGGGATGGGGCAGGCAGGTGCTGGGAGCAGCCGGTTTTGGGGCGTCCAAAGCATTTTTGGGATATGCAAAGATTTGGGGAGTCCAAGTCAGCGCTGCTCATCCGCAGAAAGCTGCCAGCTGGGATCACCCTCCTCTGTAACGCCTTGGGGAGCCCCGGCCCGTCCCGCTGAGCCCCCAGGTCCCCCCAGTGCCACACCCAGCGCGAGGTTTAACCCAAACCCCCAGATCACGGCAGGGCAGCGGCAGCGAGCGGGGCCGGGGGCGGTGGTGTCGCCGCTGTTCGGGCTCAGGGGCGATGCCGGTGACGCTCCCGGGCAGGCGGGGCTGGGGGAGCGATGGCGGTCGCTCGGTGAGGGCGGCGGGGTCCGTGGCAGAGCTCCGGGAGGCCGCTGTGCTGTCCCGCGGGGGCTGAGGGTCCCCGGCGGGCCCCGCCGCGCCGGGCGGGTCTCTGGGCGTGCCCGCGGTCCCCCCGTGCCCCCGACCCCGCCCGGCCGCCGTGACGCGAAGGGCCCTCACGGGGAGGAGCCTCCGCCCTCCGCTCCCGCCATCACCAAACTTCGCGCTGGTTCCCGGCCGCCGCCTCCTCCTCCTCCTCCTCCTCCGCCCGGCACATGGCCCCGGCCCCGCGGGGCTGAGCTCCGCCACCGCCCGCGGGCGCGGGGACACCGCCGGCAGCGACACCGCCGGCAGCGACACCGACACCGCCACCGCCGGAGCGAGCGGTCCCCGCCGCCACCGCTGCCCGGGCGCGGCGGCTCTCGGCGCGGCGCGGGAGGACGGGGCAGAGCGGCGAGGGGCGGCCGGAGGCGGCGGGGCCGGTGCCCATGTGCCCGCGGTCGCGGCGGGGCGATGAGGCCGCGATGAGCACGGCGGGCGAGGGGACCCTGCGGCCCTGGAAGCCCGACCCGGGGCAGGCGGACGGGGGGCGGCCGCCCCCGCCGGGCCCGGCGCTGCCGCTGACCCTGAGCGTGCTGGCCTGGCTGGGCACCGGCACCACCATGGCCGGCCTCAACAAGTGGATCTTCGCGGCGCACGGGTTCCGGTACCCGCTGCTGCTCTCCTCGCTGCACATGCTGTCGGGGGTGGCCGTGGGGTACCCGCTGGGCTGGGCGCGGGGTGCCCGTTCCCCGCGGCCCCGCGCCCGCATCTACCTGCTCAGCCTCACCTTCTGCTCCAGCGTGGCCCTGGGCAACCTGGGCCTGAGCTACGTGCAGCTGGACGTGGCACAGGCCGTGGCCACCACCACGCCGCTGGTGACGCTGGTGCTGGGGGTGCTGGGGGGCCGGCGGCCGCACCCGCTGCAGTGCTGGGCCA